CCCCAGTGACCCTCGGCGGCTGCGGGCGCTCCCTTCCCTCTCCTGCAGCACCCGGGAGGCTCCGCACGCCCCGTCCCCGGTGCAGCCCCGGGGGGAGCAGCGGTGGGTTTTGGCTCCCCTGTGCAGCATCGAGCATAGGGGGGGCTGCAGACCGATTCCCCCCAGCGCAGCGTACAAGGGGGGTATCTGCAAATCAGCCTGGAACTCCAATGCAGCACTGGAGGGAGGGGGGAGAGGTGAAGGCTGTACGACGGCATCGCTGAAATGTTTAGCTCCGTGTCTGTGTAAAGAGCGTTTCTTGCCCGTCGCTGGTCGGATGGGGATGTGTTTTCGTAGTTTCTAAGAACAAAGACGCCATGTCCTTTTCTCTTAAAAATAAAACTTGGAGTGTTTTTTGGTGGGGTGTTGGCTTTTAACTCTTTGTAAACCAGTAAGGCAGAAACAGGCTGCGGATGAGACAGACTGGTACTTATGGAACAATAGAGAGAAATTGACTTCACTGGAGAAACAGCAGTTCAGGTGTAGAAGTTTTAAAAAAACCTCTTAGGAATTACGTGCAAATTTGATTTTGCAATTAAAACGGCAACGTACAAACTTAAAAGCTTGAGAAAAACAAAGCTCGGTCGTGCCAAGTCTACAGTTTAAAGTTGGCGAAATACTACAGTTGTGATTTAGGCGACACTACAAAAAGAAAAGAGAGTTACTTAAATTCGAATTGCACGATAAGGAAACGGATGACTTTGTGTCTGACATGTAAAGCTTAAAAAAAAACATTTAATGGGTTTCAGGTTTGTTTTTATAATTCAGTTAATAGGTTTTTCAGAGACCTCGCAGTTGCTTCTCTTTACGAAACATTTTAGTCGTTGTTTCGGTGTTCTGATAATTTAGAAGTTGTACAACACTATTGCAAGACTTTTAAAAAATGCAAGTTAAAATGCAATGGCTGACGTTTGTTTTGGGTTGGCTCGCGTTCAGCAATTACCAATTTAAGAGTAAAATCGTAATTCTAAATGTATAAAAAGTCTTTGCAGCGGAACAGGAGGTAAATACTAAAAACTTTAGTTTTAATTGGAGATTGTGTATAGCCATATTTGTTAGATTTTAATGTTGTATGCTTGTGCAAGGTTCTAAAACTCTGTGCAGATTTTAAATACTGCAGTTGGAGGTAAATCTACATTTTTCGGTACTTCCTCTGCAAATAAGAATCTGTCATTTCAACGATTGAAGTTAGCCCTTTTTTTGGAAATAGAAATACAAGTTTCAGCAACCGTCACCTTTATGCAAAGTGTTTAGTGTCTTTATTTTAGACTTGGATTATGGTGGTTTTATAACCCCAGCAACAGTTCTGCAGTGTAGAACAGGTTATGGCATACACACTTTGCCCTAAAGAAAGTTCTAGCTTTAGGTGGGTGTCTGCTGGATTTGTCTTAAGTACATTAGAGGATAATTTTTAAATAGTTTTGACTGGTTTCTTTCAACAGTGGAAAATAAAACAGCAGGTAATTGTCCAGAAAATAAATTACTTGTAATTAATAATGTGTTCTATTTAATATTTCTGCGGTGCTTTTTTTAATTTAAGGTGTAGGGGTTTGAATTTAGACATCTTTTAATCCAGCATTAAAATGTTTTTTAAAATAGTATATTTGCAGAATGATTCTGCACTTCTAAAGTATGAAGTAGTGCTGGTTATAAATATAATTGCTGTAAAATAAAATGTTATGGCTTTTCTCAAAAGGCAAGAAAAGTTGGCTAGAGGTAGGGCAAATATGGTGTTCCTTGTGTTAAAGTAGCATACTTTGAGGTCTCATTAAAGGTTAAAGAAGCTGAAGGCTTTAAAACTGTATTCTGAAGGGCAAAAAAGATGTTTTTTTGGGAGATGAAGTAACTTAGGACTTAAAATTCAGAGAAGCTGATGACAGAAGCCATTTTAAAGTAACCTTGCTATCAGTAGTGGTTTTATTTAATTTTGCATAGCCTACTTTGAAAGACTTTAATGTGGAAGAAAAAGTAAAAGGGCTGAGGGATATTGTGTGATAAACTACTCAGTAGAAAAAGTCTTAAATTGGCATTTTAGCTTTAGTTCTTTCAAAATTAAAGTAATGGAGACAGTAGAGCAGACTACAGTTATTCATGAAAAGCACAGATCATGTGTGTTGTATGTCAGTCACTCATATCCAGTGGGTTTTTCTTCAGACAGGAACGTACAGCCACTCATACTTTTATTTTTAGAGTTTAATTTGAAAGATAGTTATTGTGATCATGAGTTTTTCCCGATTTAATAATTATCTAAAGATTGATAGATTTCAGGCATATGCTGCTTTTCTAAAGCAAAATACTGAAAATATCCATACTTTGTTTTTTCAGGTAGAATTTCGTGAACAGAATCTTATTTCCTGACTGGCTTCCAGAGGATTCGTTCATGCCTTATTTTTCTTAGGTAAGAATGGTTATACCATACGTTAGTATGTTCATTTCCTTGTTATTTTTTGAAATTGGAATTTGCCTTTTTGCTACTGTGCAGATGGGAAGAAAAGAAAAAAAAAAATCTCATTTTTATATGGAGGGGACACATTTGATAAATTGTCTGGAGTTCTGAAAAGCTTTTTGCAGTTTACAGATAGTCTGTCTTCATATAATGTCATGTTTATGTACTGCTTGAGTATAAATTTCAGTTTACTAAAGCTGTTTGTTAAGTGGATTGTTTATTTTTATAATATCTGATACATATATACAAATGCATTGCATTTGGTGGAAAAGGACAGTATTTGCATATAGAAGTTCTGTATGTCCCGTTTCAGCAGTGAAAACTTGCATTAAACTTTGAATTAGGTTTTTTACTTAATGAATTTGTAACATTAACGTTTGGGGAAATTGTAGAATTTGTATATCAAAGTAGTAACACAAGGCTTCGGGGATTCATAGAGAAGGAGATTTTTGGGGCCTGTCTCCTGTTTTTGGGGACCTGGAGGCTAACGCTTAGCGATGATAGAATATTGGTTTTGTACTGTAGGAAAAACTTTCGTTCATTCAAAGACATTTCCTGTACATGTTTTCAGAAAGTTTGTCAGTCAAGAATGTTAAGACTTAAAGAGCTTGTCTGTACCTTGTTTTTAGACAAAACTGGTTTTGTTGTTTTTTTCCTTTAAAGGCTGTTACTGGATATTGTTCTTCCAAAGATTCAGATGACTGGTTGGACAAAAGACCTTGAGCAAAATTCTGTACTGTGCGTGCCAGGTACGTTACACTGTGTTGTGGGGGTTTTTGTTTTGTGTTTTTTTTTCTTTAATTATCCTGGAAACAATTATTTTTTTTTTCAAAATAAACATTAAACATTTAACTTTCAGTGTTTTACCTTGTTGAATTTATTTTCTTACAAGCTGAGTTCATTTGGAAATTGTTAGTATGTAGGTACTACAGCACTGTTAATGTCTCACGCATCTTTGAAAACTTCTATGGTCACTCACAAGTTTTTAACAATCTGCAATGACCATGTTGACATGTGGTGAAGCCAAAGGATTGTCATCTCCTAAGGATATTGTCTAATCGAACTTCAGGAATGCTATTCCTTAGTTCAAGGTATTGGTTCATTAGCAAGGGACCATCACAAAGTTTTCCTTTTCAAGAAATTGTTTATACAATAAACTTGAAAATTCTGGTTTTGGTGTAAATTTTATTCTAAAAATCTAAAGTGGTACCCAGTTGTTATGAGGTATCTTGCTCTCCTCCTCGCAGTGTAAGCAAAACAGCTTCTAATGTTTATTTTTTGATTTTACACTTCAAATTCTGCATTTAGGATCAGAGTAATGTGTAGCCTTTCAGTCAGGCTTTCACCACTCTGTAATTACAAGTGGGGGATCCTGTTTGCCTGCTTTAACTGGTTCTTTTTCACAGCTTCCCATGCTCGTGTACTTCAGTGCATACTCAGGACCTCAAAGTGTAAGACGTCTTCATGAGGACACATGTATCAGTATTGCCAAAAATACTTTCGATCGTTTGCTTTTAAAGTTACATAATTCATCATGATAATCAAAGAATACAATTGTGAACCCCCACCTGAGTGCAGCTGGGGTTTTTTTTGCTTGGATGAAGCCTTCAGTCTTCATAGAAAAGAGATTGTATGCAATTTTCCATAAGTTTTACAAAAACGTCTCTTCAGGTTGTAATAAACCTTTATTTGTAGTGAGTCATTGCTGATGGGCAAGGTAGAGTTCAAATTATTTATAGATATTGGACATGTGCCACCATCATGGATGTCCTGCAGCAAACACAGCTAATGAGCAAGGTGATATGTCAGTATGTTCCTGCAACTTCATCTTGTGACTGTCTGATGGGAAGTGTGAGACCTAGAACTTCGTGTTAGAAATGTCTCATACCTTAAGAACGACAGTATATATCTAAAATCCCACGTAAATTTTCAATTCAGAGCGTCAAAATCCACAGATACTGCACAGTCAGTTACAATAAAGGCAAGACCAGCCTGGGTCACACAAAAGTCTGGTTAATAGTGATGAGATTGAACCTGTCAGACTCAATTTATAATCCTGATATTAAATTCTGAAATGTCAGTCAGCAATTTCTATCTGACCTGCTCTTAAAAAAAAAAAACTAGAAAAGTAAAAAAAAATACAGTGCTCAAGAGCGGATCTTGGCTGATTTGATCATTTTATGATAACTATGCAATTGAGCACATTGATCTCAACTGTCTTGAATCTTTTCAGTATTGTCCTGACTCTGCTGAATGGACATTACAATAAAAGCAGCTTTAACTGTCCCTTTTGTGAGCTCTTCAGAGCTGTCTTTTCTTGCAAGAACAACTTGTTTTCATGTAACAGTGGCTTCACCTCTAGGTTAAGTAGACCTTAGTGGGTTAGATGTACACTACTGGGACTTGAGGGAAGTTCCAGGTTCATGGCTATGTTACAGGATGCTCGTGGGAATCAAGGGGCATCAGAATCATGTTGAATCCAGACCTTTTCAGTAGAGGAAGCTGTTCCTCTACGGGGATACAAACCTGTATTAAGTATTCTCATAGAAAATATTTTGGTAGCATTGACAACGTACATGGAAAAACATTGGTGTGGTGATACACATCGGCTTTGCCAAAATACTTTATTAATTAAATAATAAATACAAGAGAAATTTGATACCAGGTGATAGCTTTTGGGTGTCTGACTTCACCTTTTGCTGTAAAAGGAGATGCACTGTGTGATGATTAGTGCCAATTTTGGGGGAAGGAGCCATGGACTTAGGAGGCTGGGCATGTTTTGTGTGGTGTAGGCTGTACTGTACTTCATGTGTCTGTAATTTTAAAACAAAAATAAGCCATAGCTATTAGATTACATAGAAAAAGTAAATACATGTTTATTTTTAAATATGGGATGTATTTTTTTAATCACCCAGGCTACAGCAATTACAGCAAATAGTCTGACTAAAAGATTTTTACATTAGGTACAGGAAATACAGCTGTTAACATGAAAGGTAAATTTTTTTCAGCCAAGACTTGCATTTCCATGCTCTGGTTTCTGGCTCGTGCCATAAGCCTGTACCTTTGGTGATCTATTCTCTAGTTTAAGAGTGAAAGTGTTTTGGATGTTAAAATTAAAAGCTCAAAACACAGGGGTATATTCTGTAATAGTGAAAAAATAACTCATGTGAATGAAATGTAATATATTATCAACATCCTCATACTGTTTTTACAAAACTCATTGTTTAGTTCATCTCACTTCCAAGAAGAGAAATGTCACAACTACTTCTATGTGATACCACTGACAAACAAAATGTTCTTTTGCACAAGTGTGCTGAGGTCAGAAGAACAAATCTCCAGTGGAGTCTTAATAGCACTCATTAGAGGAAGGGGCTTTGTGGTGACAGCCATATTAAATAACCTTACTGAAGTTCCTGTCAAACTACCCTAGCTGTGTGTTTGCTCTAGAACTAAAGAAAACAAGAACTAACTTGAAGGCCATGATGGATATGTAGCTGTGCCGTGAATTATTAAAAATGGCTGAGAGCTGTAAACTGAGAATCTTCCAGTCATTAACTTCACCTGTCTTCATATGTTAGATTGTAGTTTCTAAGTGGCCTTCTTTGAGCTAAGTGATCCAAAGGGCCTAAGTAACTGTTTCCCTGGTTCATTTTTCATGCCTTGGATGACTGGTGGATGCCTCCTGGCTGATCAGAGTCCAGCAGCCATGTTGTGTTTCTTCTAAAATGGTGGATAAGCACTTCACAAAAGGACTGTGCTTCCATTTAACAGCAGTTGCTTGTGCACATTCAGATGCATTTTAAAATATCATTAATATGTTTTTAAATCTCTAAATATCACATGCATTAGGATATTCTACATGGCTTCAGCCAGTCTACTGCTATACTTTTTTTTGTAATTTCCTTTTTTAAAGGCTTCTTCCATAATAAGAGTTCAAAGTAAATTACATCAAAAATGAAATTACAATCCTGTTCATCCCATTTTTCTACACATCTGAGTAGCTGTCAAATGGAAGAGCACAGTATGCTGTCACTGGATAGGTTCATTAATTTTTTTGTATTTGAGGCTATAGTTCAATATAAGTAGATTCTGAGAGATTTTACAAGACAAGTGGTTCATTTGTACGTGTCAGGAGGATAAACTTGAATGTCTTATTTAATGTAGTTGAAATTTACATTAAAAAGGGGGTTTATGAGTTGTTTCAGAGTTTTAGGTCTTTAATCTTGCTACCTTTGCTTAAGGTAACTGTGATTAAGACTTTAAATACAGATTGCCAGTGGGCATTGTCAAAGTTATATTTCCCACACATGAGTTACCTGGCCTATATATGAGCAACTTTGAGATAAAGTGGATAACTTGTTCCACATAAATTTGTTACATAATTGCCCTGCATCCACATGATACGTCCTCTCAATAAAAAGAGCATTTTGTTTTCTATTGTGAACATCAAATCAGTTTGCTTAAGCATGCTTCTACTTGATGCCTGATTGATCTTTTTAAAAAACTTCAAAGAATATATTCTTTTTCTTGTTTTTTCTCAGTAAATTAGAGGACTGGGTCTGGGTTGTTTGCAGGTTTTTCAAAAATAGGTTCCTTAGTGATGCTTCTAATTTTTTTAAAATAAAAATAACTTCTGTAGTACATGCTGTGAGCTGGGAATGCTTGGCGGGGATTTTTTTGTTTTGTTTGGTGTTTTGTTTTTGTATGAGGGCTTTTGTAATAAAAGCTAATGCTTAATTTTGTAGACCTTGAGGTCTAGATCTTTTATTTTTTAATTTATTTTAATTCAAGTGTTTTAATATCCCATTTTCCCTACAGATTGTTGAGGAATTGATTTACTCACTGTAAGCAAAATATCTGCTCTTGGTTGAAGCACTGGTAAGTTGTTATTCCTAGTAACATTTACTTTTTAGCTTTAAAAAAATCCCAGCAACCTCACATGGCTATAATGTTAAAGTGGCTGAAGGCTTTGGCTGAATACATTCCAAAGTTCATTAGTGTGTGGCCATGTGTGCATGTGTGTTTCAGAAAAGCTTAAGTTAACAGAACCCCAGGATCATTCCTGCTGGGCTCTGGGGAAGTGAGCAGTACTTGGATAGTGCTCTCTTCCTGTCTGGCTCCAGAACAGCTTTCAGATCTGATCCTAGTTCTGGGGGCTTCTGTGATTTGACTCCAGATTTCACTGAGAACTTTTATATCATAGCTTTGCTTGTTCAGAAGGGTTTTTGGTATGCAGATGTCTGTCTCTAGAGAGGTACTAAACACAATTTGGATAACAAATGGTGTGGAAGTATAGCAGGAAGGACTTGCCATACGAGCATCTTGTGTTGTCCTTATGCTTCTGTCAGGATTAGTGGGAGCCTTTGAGCAGACAGTTACTGTCTCCTGTTCTACAATTGTTCTCTTTCTGTTCTTCATTCTTAAAGCTCTGGCTTTGCACAAAATGATAAATGCCAGTACAGTTTCCTGTATTTTTTTTTTAAATTAAACTGCTAGCTGATAGACTTGAAATCATTCTTCATATAGTCAAAACATAAAATTGGCAGGCTTGAGTAGGTAAATTAATTCAGTTCTATACTGGATGAATATAGGGACAGAATTTTTTCCCATTTCCTTAACTAAAAGGAATTTGGTCTTGACCATTTGTTGTTTCTGGTACATTTTGTGACTTTCTTGGGAGTTGCCTGTGGAAAGACACAAGTCCTTTTGTCTTCCTGTCTGCTTAAAATTCAGACTCCTTGATTCTGCATATTTAATTAGAGCATCCACTACATTTTGTGTGCATGGATTAACTTTTTTTTTGTGGGAAGCTCTATTCCTGTAGCACTGTGCTTTGGAATATATGCTTTTTTTAAGGCACAGTTTCTTTTAGTCTGACATGCTACCTGATGGAGCATGGCCTTCTTAGGCTTCAGATAGCTTGGGAAAATGTTTTTCCAAGATGCACATCCACTCATTTTAGTAGATAAATGACAGTGAATTTTAGCTGTCCCGTGGCTGTGTGTGTTAGCAGAGCCCTCCATCAGCCACTGCCTTCTGCACTGCCTCAGGTGCTGGGAGAGAAAGCTGTCCTGTACTCCAGAGTGCTGTGCTTCTCTTCCACTCCATGGTGTGGACACTAATGAAAGGGAAAAGGAGTATATGGGGATAAGGTGCAAACCTTGCTAGGCTCTGTTAGTCTGGCCTCCTGTTGCTTATGGGTCCATTTCATTTTGGACCAATTTTATCACTTGAGTTTTCAGTCCTGAAGTAAAAGAAGTAGAAAAAGATGTAGCAAAAGAGTTAATGGGCTTTGAGGAATTAAATTTTTAATGTGTGTACAAAAACTCAATTTTGATAAGTATTTAATCTCTTCTACTACTGTGGTCTGTAGGTTTTATTACTTTGTTCTTTCAGAAGTTTCAAGCTATTTTTCCCACTGCATGTGTGTATTGAACAGCATATTTATTGATATGTTTCTTCTCCAGCTATTGCTCAAAACTCTTCCTATGCTATCCATTGATGCCTTCCTAGCCCCAGTCACCTGCTGGAATCTCTCAACATGTGACTCATGTTCCATTTTAATATTAATCTTCGTGTGATTCCTACATCTTTGTGTTTGCATTTCTGTTTTTTCCCTGGGCTGTAAATTAGGTATTGTCAGATCTGGCTCTTGGAGTAGAACTTTGGCTTTTCAGTTACACACCAAGTAATTCTTCCATCCTTTTCTGCTTCACAATGCTTACTTAAAGGAAGAGGTGAACGTGAAACCCTTAAATTACTTAATTGACACAGTTGTCTACAGAAGTAGTTACTTCAAAAAGCAGTTGTGAAAGCATTCGAATGGGTGGATCTTGAAAGATCTGGTGTTGCATTCTCTGGTTAACATGGTGTTTAGTTGAAGCACTGATTTTTATTTTTAAGTCTTTTTTAAGACAGCAAATATTCAAAAACACCAGGAGCTTTATTAAAGTTGGCATACTTTGCTTAATGCAATAAAATTTATTATTTAAAAATAATACCCACAAAAGAGTGCATGTGTGAATAAAGCCACATCTTACTTGGAATTCACCTTGAAATCTGACAAACCTGGCAAACAGCCTTTCTTATCTAAAAATACCCAAACCTGTATGAGTTTTGCTTTTACTGCCCTGCTTAAGGAACATCTAATGGTGGTAAAAGCAGATTTAGAGCTGTCCAGAGCACTTACTTCATGCTAAAGATGGTACAAAATAACATAATGGACTTAGCTGCCAATAAAGGACACTTCTTTACTCCAGTGTAAAAGTTAACAGGGATGTCTTTGAGAACAAAACCTTGCTTTAATGAACTTTGAAATATAGAACTTGAGGTTTGGTTTGCTCAGAACCTCATTCTGTCCATTCAGCTCCCTCTGTTGGAGTGAATTCCCTTTCCTAAGTAGGTCACCTTATTTAAAAGTTTAAGCTTCAGATTTCATTCTGGAATAGCTTGTAAATTTATTGCTGTCTTATGCATGAGTGTTGGACGTGTTGGGCTTCAGTCTCACCCTTTAAGGAATGCAGGGTTACAGTGGACCTGAAATGGCTGAAGCCATGGGTTTGGCCATAAGGGATGTCTCTTATTGGTGTGATCTTTTAATACAGCAACAAATCATTGCCAAAAAAGCTGAAGAGAAAAACTTTGTTTTATAGTTGTTGCACTGAACCTTTAGGTGGGTTGGGAATGGATGGTATGGAGTGTCAACATGTTACCAGTGGTTTGAAGGAAACTTTGTCAGTATTACAGGACTACCCAAGTCCCTGATGTGTTGTGACCAAAACACAGTGCTTGCAGACCAAACCAGTAACTAGTAGATAATAGAAGCTTGAAAAATGGATGGATGCCTAATTCATTTTACAGAAGGAATGGTAGGCTCACGTAATCTAGGGAAAAAAACCAGATTTTTCAGTATCTACCTCAAGTTTAGGATCACTGCATCTGTCTTCATGGAGGACTGTATTTTTGTAACATTATTTCTTAGTAACATGAAATTTCTTAGTGAAGTGTGCCTTAATTCATAAGTAAACAAATGCTGTGAAATCTTTTAAAGCAAATGTAAATTTCACAAGTGTAGAGGCTGCTATTAATATTTTGGCCATTCCTGTAGCATTTTTTTGATGTATATTTTGGAGAACAATAATGTGTTCTTAATTATAATACCTCTTTAGTTCTGTTTGCTGCTAATTATTTTGCAAGATTTAGAGAAGAGTTTAAGATGGACATCATGGGGTTACTTGAAAAGTTCTTGGTCTGACCCAACATAGATGAACCTAACAGGGAAATTTGCCCTGAAGTTGCTTTTGTTAGGTCCTCTGAGGGTCTGAGGCAGAGGGCTGACCCAACTGGAAAGAGCCTTTTAAGGGTGACTAATACGTAACTAAATTACCTTTTTTAGAGATGGGGAAAGTTGATGTCAGTAATTGGATTTCTATATGTTAAGCTTACTAGAAATAATTAAAAATTAATTTAATGGTATTATTTATAGGGTTTCCACTGTAGGCATGTTAATACTTCTGAGTGTTTGATTGTGACAATAATGGACAACTTTGTGGTGTTTTTGTTCATGTTTTGTTACTTCAGTCAAGGCATTACCATGAAAAAATATTCAAAATTCTAATTCATCTTCAGATGCCTAAATAGATTTGAAATTAGTTGAGTGAGAACTGAAAAAAAAGAAACCAACAAGCCAAACCCAAAGCAACCATAAATCCAGCTTAGTGTGAGGGGAAAACACCTTTTAAAATATTTAATACATTGTCTTAAGTGAGGATGAGTTGAATATTTGAAACAGAGCATTTTCTTTAAACTTGAAAGTTCTGTTTCTGAAAACATCAATGTCCTGGGGCTGAATATGCCTGCAGCAATGCACGTTTCACAGTGCAGAGTGAAATTACCAGATCCCATATTCCATTTGTGTGTGCAGCACTTTCCCATTGTATTTAAAACAAGGAATTCTGTAAAACAGCATAAAACAGGATACATGGGTACTTGTGAAAGTCAGACTGGGGCTTGTTGCACTGTTTCCAGTGCTCTTTGCTTTGCTGTAACTGGTTATTTTGAGATGAGACTGGGGAAGCTGGGATGCCAAGGCAGAGACCACTAGATGGCCCCACTGGTTTTTGCCAGGCTGTGGGTAATTTCTGCATCCCTTGTCAGAATCTGCCCAGGATAATCAGAGAGCAGAGTGGTGGTGAAGTTGGCTTTCAGACTAAAATGAGGTTAAACCTATACATATTCAAAAAAAAAAAATTGATGTTGGAGTGCAGATACTCAAAATCATGAAGACATTTTAAAACCCTTTTTTGCATGTCAGCCCTACAGTCAGCATTGGTTTCAAAATTATGTTCTTAACACTTAATAACTTCCTATACCTAAGTTTTGCACGTGAGGAGGAATAAAGTTTTACTTGAAGTAAATTGAGCTTACATTTCTTGGAAGAAGATAGGGAGATGAGAACATTGGTTTGTATTTATCCATGTGGATATTGTTAGCTCAGTTTGGTTTTTCACTCACCTGTCGGCTTGGTTGGCTGTACATGATGAGTACAGTTGGAATATGGCTCAGGAGCCTTGCTGAAGGTAGCTAGAGTGACTTGTGACCATTTTCATCTGATTTCTGATGTGTCCTTTTCCCACCAGTAACTAAACAACTCATTTGCTTGTGTGTTTGCTGTTGCACTGTACATCTTTCATGAGCTGGAAAACTGGGTCAAGATGGTGGAATGTCTTGTGTCCAGTCACCATCTCTCTATAAGAAACCAGTTTTTATTTGTTTTGATGGATTTGTGTCATGAGCAGTACTTACAAATTTTGGCTTGTTACAAGAACCTTGGTGTTCTACTAAGCAATGTCAGCTTCAGGAGATGGGCCAGTGCAATGAAAATGGTTGCAAGAGCAAATTTCTTAGATTTCCCACCACAGATTTCTCTAGGGGTTTAATGCTGTGAAGAAATTTCAAATGGAATTCATGGATCCTGAAAGAGTTCTTGGACTTACAATAATTTCTCTCATTTTTATATAGTTTTGGTTAAACTTTCTATTTTTGATTCTTGAATTGATTATTTGACATAGTTTCTGGTAAAAGTAGATGTTGTGGACTGTGTAACATGCAATGAAGCATCAGTTACATGTTTAAATTTTCTTCGAGGTACAGTAGTTGAATGTCTTAGTTTAAAGCAATGATATGTATTCCAACAGCATTTTTCTTCTAATTTTTCATAAAGAATCCATTCAGATGAAGAGTGTCAAAAGGAGTCTACGAATGAGACACCAAGATGGCAGTTCCACTGGGGATTGAGAGGTTGAGGAAATGGACTAATGCATGAGTGCTGGGATGTCTGTCCAAGAAAAGGATGTTAAAACGTGGACTCTCATGTTATTAAACCAGAGAAGATCTGGGTTGTGATCATCCTACCAGAATGGACTTTGCATTTGAATTAATCAGTGACTATGCAATGATGGATCTGTTTGAGGACTGGGTGGCAAAATTTCCTTTTGGGTTGTGTTTGCATGATAGGCAAATTAATTTGGTAAAAGATCTGTTGCTACCCCTTTTGAGAAAATGTAATTTATAAAGTGACTTTAAATAAAAGGTTTTGGTTTATTTCACACTTTGTGTTTGTCCTTTCTGGCTGAATATTTTTTGTTGTGTTGATATTGAAGTGGGTTACATTTTTGGTTGCTATTAAACTGAGAAATACTTTAGCTGAGTACTGAAGGCAAGGTAAAATTTAGTGCTACACTTGATATCCAATGTGGTTTTCATTTGCAAATTATGTTCACTTTGCCATGACTTTCAATGAATTTTTATTCACTGGCTTGTTCATTCAGGTGCTTAATATGAGGGGTTTTCAGTACTTGGCCTATTGTCAGGGTACTGCTGCTGAACTTTGTGAAGTTATTTTAAGATGGAATTGATACCAATTGAAGGCTGAGAAAATATAACAATAAAGGAGTACTTGAATGTTTTGTGAAACTTTTTTAGGTATGTTCTTGGGTTGTGTGTGGGTACAGAAACTTTTCAACAGATTTCCTGGACTACAGACTTCCTGAACAGTCACTTTGGTCTTAAAATTGTTCTGTGCAAGTGTCCAATCTGCTTCGCTGCTCTTGCATGTAGCCTTAGTGTCACGATACTGTGCCATGTGTTTGCTGAGAAAAAAACAAGTTATTTTTGATATTGCTGCAGATGACATATTAACCTTTGCAAATGAATTTTGAAATGGTTCTAATATTTGAAGTCATGATTTCCTTACAGGTTTCTAGTGGATCTAATAATTTAACCATAGGCATTTCTTCTCTTTGTGTTTCACCTGAAACTCAAAGTTGTCTTTGTTTTGTACTGGAGGGCCAAGATGATAAACCTGGTGCTGAGATAACCTTGAAATTATCTTTGAAAACCCCAAAAAAATCCTGTTCATTGTCTGTTTAACCATTTGCCTTGCTCAGACTTTCTTGGAAATACCCATTTTGCCATGATGACTTGCTCATACCTGTTCCATCCAGCCATTTTGGTGGTACCCACTTGGCCCAGTTTGGTTTCACCATGTATTTTTATGGTGGGGTTGGATACTGGGACCAACCTGAAGCGTTTCTCATTCAAATGAGTGGATTTCCTTAGTGTTACCAGAAATTGCTTGGAATGGTCTTGCATTGTGGTTTTTTAGTTCTTGTAGTCGAGGTGCAAGGAGTCTTCTGTGAATAATTGGTAAAGTGGAATTTTTTTAAAATGGCTTGTGGCATTGGAGAGTTCCTAATGAAACGCCTTGTGGAAATAGGGTAGATAGTTGTAGGAGATAAATGGCAGGTCTGTGGAGGAATTAAAGGGGATGGTGTTGGTTCTACTGGTCAAAGCCAATGGTTTTGGGCTGTTGAGATGCTGTACTGTGGGATGTCCCCATAGACCCCAAACTAGCCCATTGCCCCTTTGTTCTCCAGTGGTCCCCCCATGACTGATGGCTCTGTCTTGTTGTGGTGCTTATGAACATGCAGGATGTCCTTGTGCTTTAAGGGGTTGTTTTTGGTTGTGGAAGACAACTGGTAGTCAGAATCAAGTGGGCAGGGGATACTTGGATCACCTCCATTCCCTTGGTGATACATCCTCTCAGTTCCACGATGTTGTGTTGGAGATGTGTATCAATTGATTTGCAATTCTGCAACTTGGCTATTGTGCAGCTTTCAATTTAATTTGTTGTATTAAAATCTGTTAATGAGCATGAATGGGTTAAGAAAGTGCAGTAGGAATAAGCAGTTTGATGGTGTTGGACTGAGTTGACCATAGTGCCTTGGCATAGCTGGTGGAAATGGTGTGGCTTTTGGATTGGAGTTGTTGGGAGAAACCACTAGGGAGGCGCTGTGGAGCTGGAGGGCAATCTCAGCTCTGTGGGGTTGGCTTGGGAGCCAGTGATGCTCCTGTCTCCCCCTGCCAGTGCCAGCACTGGGGGACAAAGGGAGAGCTGTTGTCTGGGGATTTTGCCACCAAACTGGGGGGAAGCTGCCCCTTGGGTGGGGTGACCCCCAGGGTGGGCAGTAGCTGCCTGCATGGCTGTGAGCTCCACTTCCATGCCTTCAAAATGGCTTGTAACAGCACCACTTCCTGTCCAGGGAGGAAGTAATTTTAGCCCAGGCACTGAAATATTTAACAAATCTTTAAAACAAAAGGCACAAATTCCATTTCTTTCTGGCTTCCAAAGGGTGCCTGAGCCACATGGGGTTAAGGTGCCCCTTGAGCTGGGGTAGTTGGAAGGAGCCAGGGCTGTGGGGTAGCAGGCACCCTTTAGGTGGAGGCTCTCTCTTTTTTTGGTAGAAATGAAGGGGTGGGTCTATGGTACATCACCTGAGTTGTGGGGTAAATGTAGAGAGTGTCAATCAAAGGCAGAGCTCAGAGCTGGGAAGGAGCTCTAGATGGCGGCTGTGCCTTAGAGAGAGCGCGCTCAGCTCCGTGCCTTCCCCAACACTTTACGCAACTTTCCCTAACTTTCAGGCAGCCTCAGGGGGCCCCCACAGCCCCTTGCCTCTCCTAGGCACTAATCGGGGGCCGAGCGGACCTTTTTCGGGCAGAAAAGCAGCTTTTGAGGGCTCCCTTTTCGTGCCTTGCTGGAAAGAAGAAGCCGTGGAGAGAGCCCAGGTCGTTGTTTTTCCAGCTTAGAAGCCATGGCGTACCTCCATTTTTGTGCGCTCTCCTAATGAGCTTTTTCCCCCGGACATTTTTATACTAATTACCGCTTCTTTTGCTTTATCGGCAGCATATTTTTGGGATTAGAATATATATTTTTTTTTCATTTTCTGAAATTTGTATTTTATCGGTATAATTCTAAATATTTTGGATCTAATGTTTTTCCACTACCCGAAACTAATATCGACTTGGTCCTGGCGGCGGTGCATGGATCAGGTAGGTGAGCAATTAATAATAATAATTTTTAGATTTCTGCCGTTTTGAGTACTTTGATTTTCGACCGATTTGTGCTGTATTGGGATGACGCAATAAGATACAGAGATTATTTGCATCCAGTGTTACTTTGGGAAAGTTTGCAGGATGCTCCTCTCCTGTGTTTATTCTCGGATTTTTCTTGTAAAATTGATTATTTGCTTTAAATCTTCGGTTTGCCGTGTTGATCAGTGCTGTGTATTGTTATAACAATATCATTGCAGCGTCAGGACTTTGTTCCTGATAATGAAAGCCAGTGAAACGAACTGGGACCTTACCTTTCTTTCAACTTTTGACAGTAAATACCTGGGCACAGGACTTCAAAGCAAACAGACACCCCTGACCCCCTTTTAATATTTAAGAATAAAAAGATGATGAGAAATAAGGACAAAAGCCAAGGAGAGGAGGGTTCAGTCCACAGCAATGCATCGAGGTATGACCTATCAACTTTCTTTTTTTTTTTTTTTTGTAAAACCTGTGAATACCCTGTTTACTTTGACAGCCTTGGGTTACTGTCAGTGCTTAACAGAAAACATTTTACTGATTTTGCTTCCTTTTTAAGGAATGACCTTGAGATTGTTAGCATGCCACACCCTAATTTTTTTTGGTAGCAATTTCTGAAACTTGTGTTGTGACTTAAGGGCCCATGTCCTAGGCAAAAGGTACTGTACCTTTATTGAGGGCAGCCCTTGCCCCTGTATGATGTTTTTCCAGCTTTTGAATTTCAGTTTTTAGGTTTTTTGTGCTGTGAAAAATGACCTTGTCGGTTTAGCCATTGCTGCATTGCACCATTTTACATACAAGGCAAATTTTTCTTTGAAGAATCTCAGAAGTCTAAACTTTAACTGAGGGCCATACAGAAGCCTGGTGTAGTAGTAAATTATAGTAAATAGGCACAAGAAAAAGTTACATGAATGAAAAAAAGCTTATTTTAAAATATAAACTGGAAAGTGCCTGTTCGTCAGATACCTCTTACTTCAAATTTTATTTGAGCTTGTAGAACTTTGAGTCTGTGGAGGTATTTTAGAATATTTTTATACAATTTAACCAGACTTTGTCCTGCTGGTGATGGCATTTTGTATCATAAAATATACACTGGGACTGTTAATAAGAGGCACCAAATGATTTGCTGGTTTTGTTTAATGTATTTTTGCTCAGAGTATTTTTATTTACTTTTGTCAAGTAATGAGATTCTTTACAGATTTTTAGAGACTTAACCTTGATGTGGGAAAAGTATGAAATACTGAAAATGTTTGTTAGCTGGCAGTGCAGAAGTACAGTTACCAAATCGCTCATTTTATATTTAAAAGGTCGGCTCTTCCAAAAACTGGAAATTAAACTATATGCGGGGTTTGTTTGTTTTTTTTTTTTTTGGTTTGTAAGTATTACTGGGTTTTGCATTTTGTTAATTTCAGTTGAATCTTGGCCTGTTTCTTTTTTTCTGGTGTTGTCTTCCTGCATTTTTAACCAACATTAATAAAAAAGAACTCTGAACTGTCTGTTGTATGACATGTGCTCTATGTGATGTTCAGGTGTTTGAATAGTATTCTTGATGTCCAGTATTTAACCTTCCTTAAGCATACAAACTTGAAATATGTGGGAATATATATATTATCAAATTACTGTAACCTTCCAGTATAAACTTGGATGGTGTTCTGTCTGTATTAAAAATGCAGTCACATTTTAAATTCTAGAATAAATGTGGGTAAGATTGTTTAATATGAAATTACTAATAAGTAAATTAGCCTCAGGGATTGTTGAAGCACTTAAACAGAGCTTTTCTAATAATGCAGTTTAAAAACACATCAGATTTTCATACTGTGCTTTTACTGTAAATGCACACAAAATATTATGTCAAAAGTCACTATTTATAAAAATTATTTTTCAGTTTATATAATTTTTATGCTTTTTTGAAGTGGAGATTATCAACAAGAGCAACAATAGACATAATTTGTTCAGAAAATTGAAAGTATTTTATCAGTGTTGGAAAGGAATAGGAACTAAAATCTGAGCCATAGCAGGAGTCCCACAAGGGGTTTTGTCTTTAGGGGTATGAGATTTGCATAGTGTCTTAGGTGCTTTTGGGGTTTTCATTGAAAGGTTATTTATCATAATTGATCCATTTACATTTAACACCTGTTGTGTGAGGTCCCCCTTCTCCCTCTTCACATCTTTTTTTCTCTAAATAAACCTGCTGTGTGTGACACCAACACACCTGAAGTGTGGGAAACAATCGAGCACAGGATATTTGCAAGTGAACCCTGTTGAGCTTTTTTGAGAGCTGTGAGTCAGCTCAATGTCATAAAATGGGCTTTACTTCCTGAGGTTGACCTGAAGTAGGGGAAATGATTTCTAGGAAGTAAAGCCACCACTTTGCTATATTGTCACCCAGAAATGCGCCGGTGTCTGCACTTCACATGCTGCTGAGGCCAGCTTGGCATCTGTGGAAGTACCTGAAGGTGGAAGCTGCACAGTCCTGGTGGGAGCCCTGGGTGGTGGAGGAGGTGGATATGGCCAGGGCCATTCACCTGGGCTGGAGAAGGGTGTTACAGTGGAAGAAAATACAGTTCTTGCATACCCAGCATGTCCCCAAACTGAGGAATTGACTCCCACCTTTCCAGTTCTAAAGAAATACAAGGGCCTGTGCAGAATAAAGAAAAATGCCTGAGAATTGTCCTTCAGCAATGACTGAGGAGACAGATGGTGTTAACTCTTTCCAGTTTGTAAGCCGAGGGTTGTACTCCTGCCTTTCCAGGTGCCCAGCAATACCTGTCCTTTGTGCTTTGAGAGTAAATTGAACTTGAAGCTGAGTGATTTCATGCAGCTTTGCCCAACAGGGTAGAAGTTGTTCTGGGTCTGCTGCAGTTCCTGCTGTGTCCCACCTGTGTGCCTGGGATTTGCATAAGTAATTGAACACAATCTGCTGTATTTTCCACCATCTTCTGTGCTGCATGTCTGAAAGGCAGAGGTAGCGTGAAGGAACATCCATGGTCGGCCCTCATGGGAAGTGCAGAGGCTGGAGGCAGGCTGGGGCCCCCCTGAAGACCAGGAGTGAATCTTGCAGGGATAGCAAGTAACAGGCACGGGATATTTAGTTTTCCTTTCCTTTGGACTCTGTGTTACAGTTGCCCTCCCACCTCGGAAATACCCGGCGTGGGAACGGTTTGAGCTGCAGACCCTGCAAGCTGGACAAGCCCTTGTGTCTGTATCCAGCTCTGGGCTTCTCCGGCATTAAAACATCTTTTTTGGGGGCAAAAATCGGTTGTGGTGGGTTAGCTCCCAGGCCGTTTTTTGTGCAGAGCTGGAGCTCCGAGGTCTGAAATGGCGTGTTTTTGCTCAGCAGCCACCTCCCAGCGCAGGGCTTTGCGCAGCACAACACCCTCGCCTGACGTGGCAGCCATTTTATGGAGATGTCGGTACACACGAAGCAGCATTTTGGCGGAGGGGGGGAGAGGATGGAAACGATCACGTTACGCACAAACCGCCCCCGGTGTGTGGCGCTGGGAGCAGGGGCAGTTGCGGCTGGGGCAGCGG